ACCGGTGTTCCAGCAGGAGGCGGTGGCAAGGGGGCGCAAGCTCCTCCGTCAACGAGCTCGTCGTGGACTTGCTCGCGGGCGGAGGAGAGCTGGACCCCGGAGGCACTACAGGACGTGGTCCTGGCCGAAGGGTGGGCCGGAAGTTACGGCCTCCCGGCGGTTGGATTGGACGTGGTCCGGTCCCTCCGGCGGGAAGAGGCAGACCCTGGGCTGGTCACCCGGGTGGGCTGCCAGATGGGGGGCTGGACGGGGCCGCTCGGACGTTTCCGAGGCGGGGCCCGTCCGCCCGGATATCCCCGGGGCCGCTGGGACTTATTCCCAGGCGGGGCCCGGGGGTCCGGAGCGTTGGGTGGCAAGTCTGCCACCCAACACCCGCTCGCCGTCGTGAACCCGTCAACCCCTGTGTCTGGGGCCGACGTCCCGTTGCTGAGGCGTGCGGCCTGGCACGGGGGGGCGGGGAAGTGGCGGCGGGCGGGGTGAGGAGTAGTCCCCCCGCGGTTGGGTTGGATGCTATCCGATCCTTCCGGGGAGGGGGCGAGGCCCCGGGTACACGTCGGGTCTTGGACCCGCGTCGCTCGGTTGGCCTGGCGCAGACGGGGGGTCGGGGCCTCTCGGACGTTTCCGAGGCAGGGTCCGGCCCCCTGGGAACCCTCGGGGCCGCTGGGACGTACTCCCAGGCGGAGTTCGGGGGCTTGAAGCCCCGCGTGTGCCGTATGGGTGTGCACGTCATTAGGGTGGGTCGGCACACGCGGGGGACCGGCGGGGCCGCCGAGACGTATTCCCGGGCGGGGCCTGCTGGTCGAGACGTGGGGTCGCGGGGCCGCTCGAACGTACTTCGAGGCAGGGCTCGCGACCCTAGCCGGAGCCCGCACGAGTTAGCCCCCCACCCGCAAGGGTGGCTGCTCGTGTGAAGCCCCGGCGGCTTAGGAAGCGACTGCTGGTCGCCCTGGCGGGCAAGGTGGAGGTGGACGGGCTCTCTACCGACACCCCAACCGTCCAGGGGGCCGCCCGGCCTTGGCAGGCGCGCAGTAGGTGTCCGCATTGTCGGAGGTGCGGAACCCCCGAATCAAGTAGGGGGCAGGAACGCCGCGGCGAGGTGCGCGTATTCCCCTCGTCCAGTCGTATAGCCAACTCCCCGGGTGAACTCGCCCAGATCTCTGAAAGTCGTGGTCATGTTTCGCGGTGGACGGAGGTCTGGTGGGGGTATACCCTGGTTGGTGGAGCCTGCTGCGTTTTGGGACGTAACCAAAAATGAGTCAAGAGAAAACCCCCCTTTTAAATACTGTGCGCGTGAATGTGACGGATGTGTGTCGTGTGAATGTGACTGACGTGTGTGCGAATGGAAGGGATGGATCGGGAGGAGGAGGAGACGGGCAGAGGAGTGAAGACCAACTCCAAACCCAAACACCCGCAAAATACACTTTTTGCGAGGATAGAAGGGCTACCCGTAGTGGACATGGAGGCCAGGTGTTTGAATTCCAGGCAACACCTGCAAAGACCGGTACTCGGGCTGACTCGCGGCGAACGCGCAAGAGGAAAAGACTGGTCCGACAAAAACCGGGGCCGGCGTGCTCCAAGAAGGCAGAGGAACGAATGGTCCTTGAGGGCACGGATACGGTGTTGGACGAGGATCTGGCCGACCCTGTAGAAGTGTTAAACTCGGACTCAGAGGATGTGGACAGCGATACCAGTGAGGATGAAACTGTCCCAAAGAGGGGGAGGCCGATGACGACCGGCAAAGATGCGTATGCACGCGAAAAGAGGGCATAAAAGAAAGAGCTCAAGGAGCTTCAAAAGACCAAGAGAGCCCTGAGGGAGGTCCTGGACCCCAGGGTTCCCCCGCGCCGTAATATGAGGGACACCACTCCGGAGAGGGAGCTTCGAGCGCAGTTCGATGCCTTTCCCCCGGACAAGCTGGCGGCGACAGTCACTGAGAGCACCGACGTCGTCGAAAAGGTGGCAAGAAGGTCCAACCTCAAGGGCACCTTCATCAAGGCCCTAGTGGATGCTGCGAACGTCCTTAGGGCGGCGGTGACAGCCTTTACGGCTAAAGCGGCCTCACCAATGGTCCAAACGAGTGCGGGACAGGAAGAGACCGAATATCTGAAAAGTCCGCGAACTGGAGGGGCAAGTGAGGGCCCTACAAAAACCCAGTAGCCAAGGGGGAAAGGAAATCAACCTGGAGCTGGATGAACAGGAAGCGGGATCTCCCCTCCTCCTCCACCCCTTCCCCCCTGCCTGTGAAAAGGGCAGCGGGTGGGGGGCCTGTAATAAGGAGAATGGAGAAGTTCGAGGGGGAAGTAAAGGTGCTTCGACCGTCCACCAGAGGGAGGAGGAAGCCCCTGGAAGACAAGGAGGAGGACGCAATGGAGGGAATGAGGCGGGTGATGGAGGGGATTTGCATCTCCGACATCACCAAAGAGGAAGACGCTCGGGAGGCGAGAAGGAAGTTGGAAGACTTCATGCTCCGTTGCCAGGGCGCCATGGCCAGATTACCGGCCCAAAATAGAGAGAGCCAAGGTCAGGAAAGAGCCGATCCTGTCGACGAATGCCAAAAGAGCATGAGTCGGCAGCTTCAAGAAATGAGGGAAATGCTAGCCAACGCAATCGGCGCCGGAGCCCGTAATAGCGCTCCCGCGGCTACCTCCCACCCCGTGAGGGGGGAAAGGGTGGCCGAAAGGGGGGGCCCGGTTCCCGGCGCCGACTCGAGGGCGCAAGAAGAGGGGGAGGGGAAACAGAAAAAGGGGAAGAAGAAAAAGGGGGATAAAGTGGGCATTCAAAGTCCCCAAAATCCCATTCCCTCCTCCGCTCCCAAAGGCGTACAGGGGCCTGCCCCCCCACAAAAGGGGAAGGGCAAGGCCCCCGCACAAGGGGGAAAGGGTAAAGCCCCCACGCAAAAGGGGGCGAAAGAGACGAGCGCACAGGCGGCATCTATTGCTACCCCTACGCCCGAACCCTCCACGGCGATTGAGCAGCCGTGGATAGAGGTCCTAGGCCGCAAGGCGAAGCAGGCGGCAACTAAAGCGGCCAAGGCCGCCGCAGGGGCCCGCCAGACTCCCCCCCAGAAGCCCGTTGGTAAGAGCCAACAGGGGGGAGGGGGTGGGAAAAAGGCCCCAAAAAGGAAAGTGCCGCGCAAATCGGCCGTCACCCGGACATGTCCGCAGGGGCAGTATGCCAGGGTGGTGGCCGAGGTGCGCGCCAAGGTAAACTTGGAGGAGCTGGGCATCGGTAGCCGCATAAACACTAGACAGGCGGCTACCGGTGCCACAATATTCGAGGTGTCCGGGGAAGGGCACCCGGATAGGGCAGATCGACTCGCGGCCCGAATAAGGGTGGCCCTACAGGGCGAAGAGGGCGTGCGAGTCGACCGGCCCATAAAAACAGGTGAAGTCCGGATAAGGGGACTAGAGCCCTCTATCAGGGCGGAAGAGGTGGTGGCCGCCGTCTCGACGGGGGCCCAGTGCGATTCCCTGTGCATCCAGCACAGGGGGATACAGCAGGCCGACAGGGGAGCGGGGAGCATGTGGCTCCGCCTCCCCCTGGCGGCGGCGAAGAAGGTGGCCCAGGTGGGCCACCTAATGGTGGGGTGGTCCCGCGCGAAAGTGGACCTTCTCGAGGTGCGCCCGATGAGGTGCTTTAAGTGCCTCGAGGGGGACACGCGCGGGAGCTGCCCCAGCAAAGGAGACAGGTCGGGGAGGTGTTACCGGTGCGCTGGCACCGGGCACACCTCCCGGGACTGCCAGGCTCCCCAAAAATGCCCACTCTGTGTAGACTTGGGGAGGCCGGCGGGACATACACTGGGAGCCAAGCAGTGCTACCAGAGAAAAGTAAAGGGGGGACACTTGGCCCGCGGCAGGCGCCGCGGACGACGGGGGCCTCCCAGGAGGCCGGTCCATCGAGGCCGGCAGAGGAGATGGACGTGGAGGTAGCGGGGAGAAGCGCGCAAGAGGAGGAACAGCCCCCTCTCACGCAGCGCCCCCCCCGCCCTAAGAAGAAGGGGCAAATGGTGGCCTCCGGGGTGACGGACCACGGAGGCCATGGAAGTCGATCCATCCCCCCAGGCGGAGGGGGATAAGACCCCATAATGCCGGGACCCTCTACGCCTGGGCTAAGGGGATATGGCCTAACACAGGCCAATGTGAACCGCTCTCCCGGGGCGCAAGACCTGCTGATGCAGGACATCCGGGAGAACGGTCACAGCTTAGCAGTGATCTCCGAGCCCGGCCGCGTCCCCCAGGACCACCCTGGGTGGCTGGGGGCGAGGCTGGAGCGAACAGCGGCAATTTGCTGGCGGTCGTGGCAGGGGTCTCCCACCACGACCGCATTAGAGCGCGGCGACAGGCACGTCGCCGTGCGCTGGGGGCCCATCGTGGTCGTGGGGGTGTATCTCCGCCCCGACAAGAGACTCTCCCTCTACGAGGACTGGCTGGCCGACGTCGAGCAGACAGTTAGACGTTTCGGCCGTGAGCCGGTCCTCGTCGCCGGGGACTTTAACGCCCATAGCGTGGCGTGGGGTTCCCGGCGAACCAACAACAGGGGGAGGGCTCTGGAGAATTGGGCAGCGGCGCTCGGCCTGGTCCTGTTAAATCGGGGCCGGGTCTCCACCTGCGTGCGCGCGCAGGGGGAGCCCATTGTCGACTTGACATGGGCTACCCCCTCCGCGGTGCGCCATGTTACCGGGTGGAGGGTGACCGGGGACACCGGGCTCGCTTTATCGGACCACCGATGGATTTCGGTGGAGCTCGGTGCCCTCGCGTCTCTCGGGCGCCACCGAGAGACATGACCGCGATGGGCCCTTAAGAAGCTTAGCGAGGACGCCCTGATGGCCTCCCTGGAGGCTGCCTGCTGGGTCCGGGGGGATGTACCCGAGACCCGCGATACGGACCCCCAACAAGAGGCCGAGTGGATCGGGACAGCATTGGCGGCGGCGTGTAACGCCGCCATGCCCCGATCGAAAACTCGGCCTCGGCGGGCGGTCCACTGGTGGACGGAAGAAATTGCCGAACTACGCCGGCAAGCCGTCCACCAGCAGAGAGTATCCGCCCGCCACGCGTGCAAGGGCGGGCAGACGGCCGAAAGGGCAAGGGAGGGTTACCTGACGGCCAAGGTAGCCCTCCGCAAGGCCATCAAGAAGGCTAAGGGCCAGGCGTGGACGGAGTTCATTAACTCCCTGAATGAAGATCCGTGGGGGCGCCCATATAAGATGGTTCTCAATAAGTTGAGGCCATGGGCACCCCCTCTAACGGAGCGGCTGGACGCGGGATTCGTGCAGAGGGTGGTGCGTACCCTCTTCCCCGACGACGACGGGGAGGAGGGCCCACCCTTATTGTCCGGGGAAGAATCCCCGGACTGGGACGAGTCCCTCGACGTCCAGCCGGATGAACTCCGGAAGGCCGTCAAGAGGGGACTAAGGGGCAACACGGCCCCTGGTCCCGACGGCCTTCACAAGAAGGTACACGCCCTGGCCATGGCCGTCCTCGCAGAGAACTACGCGCGCCTCTATAGCGCGTGCCTCCGGAGAGGGTCCTTTCCCCCGCAGTGGAGGAGCGCCACGTTGGTGCTCCTCCAGAAAGAGGGGAAGGACGCATCCGTGCCGTCGGCGTATCGTCCGATATGCCTTCTGGACGAATCCGGCAAGCTCTTTGAGCGTATTATTGCGAGCCGGATCGTCCAGCACCTGTCCCACGCGAGCCCCAATATCAGCGGGGCCCAATACGGATTCCGGGAGGGCCTATCGACAATGGATGCGATTGGCCGCGTCCAGGCCCTCTCGGACGAGGTGACTTTCCGGGGGGGGGGGGTGATGTTAGCAGTGTCTTTGGATATCTCCAACGCATTCAACACCCTCCCCTGGGAAATGATCAGGAAGTCGCTCCTACACCTGGGGATACCATTGTATCTCCAGCGGGTCATGGGCGACTACTTAAGGAACAGGTGGGTCGAGTATATCGACCAAGGCGGCGAGCGTCGACGGGCGGAACTGCGCCGGGGAGTAACCCAAGGGTCCGTTTTGGGACCACTTTTGTGGAACGTGGGGTACGACCCGGTGCTGCGGATTCCCCTCCCCCCCGACTGTCACGTCGTCTGCTATGCAGACGACACACTAGTGATGGCCGGGGGTCGCGATTGGGGAGGCCCTCTCCAGGGGGAGAGTGGCAGCGGGAGCGGTGGTTAGCTCTATCCGCAAGCAGGGCCTCGAGGTGGCACTCGACAAGACCGAGGCCGTTGTGTTCCACGTTGGAGCACGCGGCAAGCCACCCGAGGGGCTGTCCCTGCTTGTGGATACAACCCTCGTCAGGATCATCCTGGAAATGAGGTACCTCGGGTTGATCCTGGACGACCGATGGAGGTTCGAGAGCCACCTTGCCGCGGCCGCTAACCGGGCGAGAGCGAGAGCGACCCAGTTAGGCCGCCCCCTCCCCAACCTGGGCGGCCCGGATGACAAGGTGCGTAGGTTGTACGCCAACGTAGTCAAGTCGGTGGTGCTCTACGGGGCCCCTGTTTGGGCCCCAAGGCTCGCGGCATTGAGGCGTGCCCGCGCCGGTATGGCGCGGGCAATTCGCCCCATCGCCGCGAGGATATGTAGGGCCTACCGGACTGTGGCGTACAACGCTGCGGCGGTGATTTCCGGTCTCTCCCCGATGGAGTACGCGGCCGAGGAACAGAGGTTGATATTCCTCGCGAGCCGCGACTCGGAGGGGAGGCCAATCAAGATGTTGGAGAAACACCGCGCTCGGATGAGACTCCAGCACCGACGACGCACAATCGCCAAGTGGCGACAAGAGTTGATAGCCTCGGGGGTTGGTACCCCGGGGCTGCGCGTCGTCGGTGCGATCGGGCCCCTCCTCGACCAGTGGGTCGATAGAGGATGGGGTGGGTTGTCCTTCCGGATGACTCAGGTTCTGACGGGGCACCCCCTCGTGGCAAGCCACCTTGTCGTGGTGAGGGGTCTTGTAGGCGGGCGTCTGTCTGGAAGCCGCTGTGTGCCGTTTTAGGCATCGGCGGTTTTGTTGACTGGCGCTCGCTGACTAAGAGCTTGCCTTTCCCCTGAAAAGGGGAACCAAGGAGCCCGACGACTCCGGTCTCGGCTGCCTCGACGCGAGTCGAGACAGAACCGAGACCACTCGTCGGTAGGGGATGAGGTACCCAGAGTTCCAATCTCCGGCCACCGGGGCCGTAGGGGGGAGCATGCTCCTCCACCGGACCGGGTCGTCTCCCCCTCGATCCCATTGCACGTCGGAGTTCCGGCAGGGATTGGGGGGAACCCGGACGAGAGGGCAGGAATCCCAGTTGCCATTGCACGCCGGTGTTTCGGCAGGAGGCGGTGGCAAGGGGAGCTCCTCCGTCAGCGAGCTCGTCGTGGACGTGTTCGCGGGCGGAGGAGAGCCGGACCCCGGAGGCACTACAGGACGTGGTCCTGGCCGAAGGGTGGGCCGGAAGTTACGGCTTCCCGGCGGTTGGACCGGACGTGGTCCGATCCTTCCGGTGGGAAGAGGCAGACCCTGGGCTGGTCACCCGGGTGGGCTGCCAGATAGACGGGGGTCGGGGCCGCTCGGACGTTTCCGGGCGAGGCCCGATCACCCGGAAGACCTCGGGGGCCGCTGGGAATTATTCCCAGGCGGGGCCTCGGGGTCTGGAGCGTTGGGTGGCAAGTCAGCCACCCAACACCCGCTCGTCGACATGAACCCGTCAACCCCTGTGTCTGGGGCCGACGTCCCGCTGCTGGGGCGTGCGGCCTGGCATGGGGGGGGGCGGGGGAGTGGCGACGAGCGGGGTGTGCGTGGTGTATGAGTGGGCCGCGGCCGGCTGCCGGTGGATATTTCCCTGAGACTAACCAAGGGGGAAGTAGTAAACCCCCAGACCGGTGACGTCTGTACCTGACCTCTGCCATGGACTACGCGGGACCGTAAGCCCAGGTTACTGGCAAAGTCCGCAGGAAGTGGCATGTTTAATGTGGGAAAACCGCTCCCGTCTCGTCTGTCTGGAGCCTATCAGGGCGTTGAAGCCGGCAGACCGGCCGCGGGTATGGAGAGGCGTGTAGCCAGCGTCCTCTCATACCTCTGTGAGGGGGGAGAATCCCTTGCGACCTCTAGCCCTGGGGTGGAGTATGCGGCCGATCGGATCAGTGCGCGCTCTGCCTCGGGGGTGAGGCTAAACCTCTAAAATAATAGTGGGCCTGGCCGTCTTCAGGGACGTTTTAATTAGAGACACCGGCTGAGATAGGGGGTGGCTCCCCGAAAATGGCTTCTCCACTGCTCAACCTATAACTAGGGATTCTTAACACCAGGGATAGTACCCCCACCGCGGTGGGGGTCCCATGATGGGCGAACTGGTTTTACATTCACTGCCACTATGATAACCTCACAAACAAAAACCCCCCGTAAGGACGTGAAGAAGAGTGGAAAGAAGGCGGGCAACTCCCAAGGGAAGGATGGTAGGATGGAAAATTCCCAAGGGAAGACCCGACAAGGAGAGGCCATTGTCATCTTACATGACACCCTGGCAGCAAATGGAGGAGAGGGACACTCTCGAGATGCATTCCGGAAACCAGGGCCGGCGAGCTTCAAGAGAGCTAGGGAAATTCCGCTCCCGCAGTCGGACAAGTCGTTAGATGGATCCGACACGGAGGAGGTAGATGTAGGGAACAAAGACCCACTCACGGATGATGACACGTCATCAGGCTCATCGGTGGACCAGGGCACGGGCAAGCGCAAGAAGAGTGGCAAGCCACCAACCACCATTACGGGCCTGAAGAGAAGGAAGACGGAGTGCAGGAAAGAAATCCTGAGACTCAGAGCCGAACAGAAGGCGCTAGCAGAGGCGTTAAACCCGAAGGTGTTACCCCAGAGCACTATGCCAGAGAGAGACACGGTCCGCCAGCTGGAACGTCTCGACAACGCTCAGATTGCGGCGGAAATGTTAGACAACA